AAGGTTTTCAAGAGGTGTTATATTAATATCGGTGTCACCTCTAATCTGGGACGTCTGGTATATTATCATCTGGATCAGGGTCAAGAAGATTATTGTCTTCATTTTGTTGAACCTGCAAAGAATTTCTTTTATTAGATCTGGGTTTGCGAACTGTGCTTTTATGATACAATCCCTTATCTGTTTCCAACAACAACCCACAATCGTTGATAATAGTTGTTTGTTTAAACTTAGGAAGTGCTTTATTGCGATTTCCACTTTTAATATAAGCTTTGTTCTCATTTGTATAGTCGTGTGGATCTGACCTTGTTAAATTGCGTTTTTCGATTTGTTTATGTTTCACATCGGCATTTCGTTCTTGTATTTTTCCGTATAATATTTTGCAAGATTCTTTATGGTTCTGCACGTATTGTGATAAAATTAAATGATCATTATTGTCATCTAATTTTTCAGAAATTTCTTCATTGCTTAACTCAGGAAGATAAAAGTCATTTGGATCAAACAATTGATCTGTAATTTCTTGATTTGGATCTGATAAGTTTTCTATTTCTTTTTGTATTACTTCATTTATGTCATCAAGATTTACACATAAGATTCAGATTCTAGTACATTTATTTCATTATCGGTGTCTATTCGTGAAAGACAATCCGCAACTTTATTAAGGGTTCCTTTTTGGTATTTAATTTTATAATCAAATTCTTCGAGTTGTAACCGCCATCTCACTAGTCGTGAATTAGGTTCTTTTAACGAAAACAACCATTGTAGTGGTTTATGATCTGTAAAAATTATAAATTCTCTTCCGAATAAGTATGGTCTAAAGTATTTGCAACTCCATACTATAGCTAATAACTCTTTTTCTATAGTAGAATAGTTTATCTCTGCTGAATTTAATGTCCTTGACGCATATGAAATAGGATGTCCATCCTGTGATAATACTGCTCCAATGGCGTATTTGGATGCGTCTGTCATTATTTCAAATTTTTTGTTAAAATTTGGATAGGCCAGAATTGGTTCTGATATTAACAAATTTTTACAAGTATTAAAGCAATCGATAAATTCTTTTGTATGTTCTATTTTATGGTCTTTCTTCAGGCAAATTGTTAGCGGTTTTGTTATTTTAGCGAAGTTCTTTATAAATTTGCGATAATATCCTAAAAGACCTAAAAATGATTTAATTTGTTTTTGTGTTCTTGGAATTGGAAAATTCTGTATGGCTAATATTTTGTTTTTATTGGGTTTAATTCCTTCTGGTGTAACAACGTGACCAAGAAATTCAACTTCTTTCTGAAGAAACTCACATTTATCTAGTTGAATTTTTAAACGTGCTTCTCGTAGTTTATGAAATACTAGTTTTAAGTTTTGAATATGTTCTTGGAGGCTAGTACTGAATATAATTATATCATCCATGTAGACCATGCATATTTTGTTTTGCAAATCTTTTAGTACTTCGTCCATTACCCGTTGGAATGTTGACGGCGAATTTTTGAGACCAAAAGGCATTCTTAGAAATTCATAGTGACCGTTGTCTACGTTGAATGCTGTTTTCTCTATAGATTTTGGATCCATTTCGATTTGGTGAAATCCGCTGGCCAAATCTAATGTGCTAAAATATTGGGCTCTTCCTAACTTATCCAAAATTTCTGTAATATGTGGAATTGGATATCTATCAGAAATTGTTTTCTCATTAAGCTTTCGATAATCTATAACTAGACGGTATTTTTTCTTGCCTGATGCATCTAATTTCTTATTCACTATCCATATGGGTGAACTCCAAGGTGAACATGATGACCTTATGATTCCTTTATCTAACATTTCTTGAATTTGCCTTCGAACTTCTTCTTTGTGGCAGTAAGGATATCTATAAGATCTACAATGTATAGGAACTTCGTCTGTAGTTTTTATGGTGTGTCTGACATTGGAAGTAAATGTCAAGGGATCTCCTGTTTTTAGGAATATATCTGAAAATTCTCTACATAGCTTAATTATGTTTTCTCTTTCTTCTGAATTCATGTGGTCTGTTCTTATAAGGTTTCCTAAGTCTATTTTATTTTTCTTATTACATTTCTCATTAGGTTTTTTATTAAAATAATTGAAATTGAATAGTTCATAATTTGCGTTTTCAAAGGGGTATACGTTTATTGGTCTTAGTAAAGTTATTTTTAAAGCTTTGTCTGTCGGGTTTATTATTTCCATTATAGCATAGCCATTTTTTGCTAATGTTAATGTTTCAGGTATATAAACTTTTCTAAATATGTTTCTTCGATTATTATTTCTCCATTAGGTATACTGACAGGAAGAGGATAAAGCATTCTTTCCTGTGCACCTATAGTAAATTCAAATTTAATATCCATTGGTCCTCTAAATTTAATCGGTATCGTTACATTGTTATTATACAGTTGTTTATTAGTAAAATCTATAACTAAGTTCATTCTTATCATATCTTCTAATCCTAAGATTCCATCGAAATATTCGTGAAAATCATATAAGATATAATGAATATAAAAGTCACTTCCAAATTCTGGAAATGCTGGTATTTCGGCTTGATATTTAATAGTCTTAGTATAAAGAGCAGTTATAATATCTACATTTGACTGGTATATGCAATTAGGAAAATATTTTTCGGCGATACTTGGTCGTAGCAAAGACCTGGCACTACCGGTATCAATCAGCAATTTTATTTTTGAATTTCCTACTTCAATATATGGTAGGGGATTATTTGAATTTATTTCTATATTGACTGTTTCCTTTCCGAGGCTTCTATCTGAAAATTTTGGTCTCCTTGACCGTTTTGTGGTAAATCATACTCAGAATTTCTAAAATAGCTATTGACTTGTTCGTGTTGTGGTTCTCTTGGATTATTATTTTCGTTTTGATAATTATTTGTGTATAGCTCTTCGGCTATAGTATCAGGAATTCGTCTAGGGAAATCATTTCTCCGATAATTATTGTATTTATTGGAATTTGATCTAGCGTTTGAATTTAATGTGTTTCTAGATGTTATTGACATAGGTTGTGGCCTGGGTAACCGATCATTAGGAATTCGGTTGGGCCTGAATACATTACTTTCTGGTCGGAAGTTTGTGGAACGATTCTGAGATGTAAAATGGTTCTGAGAATGTTGGGTAGCTAAAGAATTTTGGTTTTGATAACCTTGATTTCGATATGTAAAATTAGGATTGAAAGGGTTTTGATTTCGATATGTAAAATTAGGATTTGTTTGATATTGATGTGTGGGATTAAAATTTTGGGGACGATAATTGTTGCTAGGCTGAGTTGGCCTGTTAGATGGATTAAAGGAATTGTATGACTTAAAATTATGATTATTTTTTGGAAAATTATTACTAGAATGTCCATATAAATTTTCAAAATTTTGAAACTCGTCGACATATGCAATGGCATCTTCAAGAGAACTGGGTTTCTTAAGGTGCATATTATTTTTAAGAACACCTGTACATCCTGCAATAAAAGTGTTCAGTGCGATTTTATCACAATGGTTAATTTGGCATAATTTATCTGCATGCTCTATACTAGTATCATTACTTATTCTTTGGGCTACATTGCTTCTTAATAGTTGTATTCTTGTTCCAAAATTATGGAGTGTTTCATTTTTAAATGGTTTTGTTCGTGTTAGTTCTTGCATTAAGCAGTCTAAATCACGTCTATCTGCGAAACATTGTTCTAATGCTCTCTTTATACTATTCCAAGTCGTTAGTTCCATGCGGTTTCCTACTAGTGCTTCTGCTTTTCCAACTAGTTTGTCTTGTATGCACTCCAAAATGTGTTTATTTAAATCTGCATCATTATATACAGAATATGTTTGTATTAGTTCGTTGCATCTTAAAATAAATTTGTTAAGAGTATTGGAATCTCCGTCATAGGGTTTAATATTTTTTAGTTTTGATTTGAGAAAATCCCAGTTAAGGGGAGTTTGAGTTTGTGTTTGAGTTTGAGTTTGAGTTGCAGTAGCCATATTTTCAAATAAAATTATTTGTCAAAATATCTCACAAAATTATATAGAAATATGTTTTATAAAAATATATATACATATAATGCAATATAAATATTTTTCAAAGATTTAAAATAAATTATTCAATAAAAATAAATATTTTCAATAGCATAAATATGTATTAAAAAAAATGGATAAAAATTCTTATTCAGTTACAAAGTATTCTTATTCAAAAAAATTAAAAAGTATCAGTATTCTTATTCAAAAAAAATTCAAAAATTAATCTATCTATCCTCACAAATATATGAAAGGAAAGGCGAAAAGGAAAGGCACTTACAGTTTATCTGGAGCACCTGCTTCTCTTCTCCGAACTTCTGCTTCCTCTGGAACTCTGCTTCTTCTCGTTAATACCACTGTAGGGTAGAGGTTCGATTTGGATACGCACTACGATGTTGAAACACCAAAAACCGAAAAAGTTCTATCACTTGATGTGTAAAATGTTCTTTTCCGATCCGCACGTATCCTACTGACTGCGCCAATTATAACTTTGAGTTCCGAAAACGAGTTTTTTAAAAATTATTTTATTTCGAAAATACAAATTTACAAATTATGTAGACAAAAGTTCTTAAACAAAAGTTAAACAAAAGTTATGAACAAAAACTATGAAGCAAAAGTTAAACAAAGTTAAACAGAAGTTAAACAGAAGTTATCGTAATTGAAATGTCCCTCTATTTATAATATAGTATTGCGTAGTTTCTATTGTCCTACAATGTGCAGATTCTGTGGAATCCAGTGGCGTAACTGATATAGTTTTTTATATAATACTCTTTCTAAAATGTTTCATACATTGTACGATAAAATCACGAGTTGGGCTTTCTACGATTATTTTCAAATTGTATCTATCCTTTTGTATAAATTTGCTATAAATTATTTAAAATGCTATATGCTATGCTATAAAAATTACACACTTGGTACCAATATAATCAATATTTCATAAAATTATAAATCAATGTCATTAAAAAATCCAATTCCATTAAAATGCATTTTGTATACTTACGTTGTTGGCTCATCTAAAAATATTACAGGAGGGTTATTAACTAATTCTAAAGCTACACTCAGTCGTTTTCTTTGTCCACCGGAAAGGTATTCAGTTTTGGTATCGTAACATTTTCTAGACCAAGAAGTTGGATTACTTCATCTACCTGTAAAGAAATTATTTTTATATCATAAGCTATAGATTTATGGATTGCTATGGTATTGATTGATTTCTGAGCCTAAAAATTTGATATCAGGTTAAAGAAGCTTAAAACAAAAAAATATTCTATAAAAAAAGAGGTTAGTCTTCGTTCTTTTCTTCTCAAGTGCGTCTTCGTTCCGGAGTTGGCTATCATCAAAGCTATGCGTAATTTTTGATGCTGCAGATCTAAACAGTTGGTATATGGTGCAATTGTACCATTCTCTCAGTTTTTCAACCATGAATCCTTCTTCTTCCTATAGATCTCTTTCCCATTATCTTCCCTGTATAATCAATTGCAGCAACTGGTATTATCTCCCCTCATAGATGTCCCAAATATTGTAGTTTGCGCTTTTTAACAGTAAGTATCAGCTTTCTCTATTCCGCACTCTCCGCAAAACCTCACATTTGTTTACTTTCTCTGTCCAGGGTATTCTTAATATTCTACGATACATCCACAACTCAAATGCTTCTATCTTTTTGGTATCGATCTTTTTTCAATGTCCATGTTTCCATCCCGTAGAGGCGAACTGACATAACGTAACATTCTCAAAAGGCGAATTTTTAAGTTTTAGACTTAGATCTCTTCCGCAGAACACCTTTTTCAATTTAGTAAATGTGGCTCTAGCTTTCTCTATTCTGGTTCTGATTTCTTCAGAGCAACCATTATTTTCGTTGATAACAGTTCCCAGGTAATTATATCTTCTTACACGTTCGATTCTTTGATCATGCACGGTTATGTCAGGGAAGTTTTGTGGTGATTTAGATATTAGCATTTTTTTTGTTTTGCTTATGTTAATGATAATCGTGTTCTTCACTGCATTCTACTATTTTGTTAATTAGTATTTGAAGATCTTCCAAGTTTCTGCGATTAGTACCGTGTCATCGGCATATCTCAAGTTGTTTATTCGGATGCCATTTATCTTAATACCTATATTTTAGATCCGAAAGTGCTGTGTTTATAATGTCTTCGGAGTTATAGATTGAATAAGGTCGGTGAGAGTAATACAACCTGTCTTACGCCTTTCTTGATCTCGATTTCCTCCGTTGTCTCTTGCTCTATTCGGATATTTGCTTTCTGGTTATAGTAAATCTTAGAGATAATTCTAATGTCCCTTTTATCCAAGTTTTTTTCTACTAGCAGTTTCATTAAGTGATCGTGACGAACTTTATCAACGCTTTGTTGTAATCAATGAAGCACATATATATATATATATATATCTATATATATATAATATATATATATATTCTTGGTTTATATCTAGACATCTTTGCATATGACGTTAAGTGCAAATAGTGCTTCTCTAGTCTTCGTTAGTGGGTATATTTATTTAAAAAACCCTTAAATGGGCTACATCAAAAACAAAACGTTTTCGGACTAAATCAGTCCATCATCAGGTTTAAATTTTAAAATTGCTAGGTTTTTTAAAATGCCTGAGCCATCATAATACATGGGTTAAAAACCCTGTAATTACATATAGTTATAAAAGATTATACATCTTGTTAAAAAACTGTGATGTTATCAGTATTAAATTAAATATGACTTCAGGTAACATACATTGTTGAATTAACAATGTATATTTTTTAGTTTTTTATTGTATTGTAGCGAATTTCGGTAACCACATGATTTTAATTTATTTTATCTTAATTAATCTTAATAAACTTGAAAGCGACAACATTTTTAAATAGAATAAAAAAAGACCTTTCAAAACGATATATCAAAAGCCTATACTTCCTATTTTAAAAAATTGGGGGTTGTACCTGTCATTCTAAGTGGGTTAAAGGTAGGGGTTGCATTTCTTACGTTAAAGAATGTCAAGTTATAATTTAAATTTGACGTGTTTTCGGGATTTTTTATAAATATATACAGTAAACCTAAATAATAAAATTTATTCCATATTTGGCTTTTACACACATGTTTGGACATGTTTAATGTAGACCAAATATTTGACTTTAGTTTTTAACGTCTCGTATAAGATCAATTATATCTTCTTCACTATTTGCAAGAAGGCTGTTTCATCTGCAAAACATAGATTGTTTATTTTTCGGCGATTTATTGAGAAGCTCTTTCCCATTTTTTTTTATAAATTTTCGTTATTGTAGACTTTTTCAAGTCGTCATTTCTCGAGAGATCTTAAGAGATCTAATAGATCTCTGCGGATTGTTCGGCGATATTTTGTAAAGTTAAGATGTATGTTACACATATATGGTATTTCTACAAATTAGTTAGTTGATACAAAAAGTAAATAGAAATAAGAAAGTCAGAAAATAACCTATACCAAATATTTAAAGCATATAAAAATATATAAATATATTGAAATAGACCTAAATTCAGTTATGAACAGAAAATCCTTTCATTCGCTTCTTTAAATTAAGAAAACATTTGAGTAATTTTCCGTTAAATTCGATGCTTGATTTTATTTGCGTCAAATTATTAGAAAATCTAAACCAGTATTTTTTTTATACATTTCATAGAAAACATTATAAATTTTTTAATTTCATTTTCCTGTTAAGTAAATAGCTTCTTTTACCACAAAATATTAAAATATACGGTCGTGATTTGCGTACTGGAATATTTTCCTGATAAATAAATAAAAATGAGGAGAACATACTCTACATTAATTTAAATAAATTAATATTAAATCATGTTATGCGATGTTAAAGTTAACAAAATAAATACGTAGAATATATAGAAATTACTTTATAAAAAATATTGTTTACTGCGAATATTATTGTTTAGTTACTAAGTTGGTGAATAAGGAACCTGGGAGCATTTTCAATTTCTGGAGAAAGCCACGAAAGTAACGGATACAATCAGCAAGACACATGTTCATCATAAATAACTTCTTCTTCTTCGTCAACCATTTTCCGTCCGCTTCTGAATGTAGGTCTCTCCCAATTGCTTCCATCTTTCTCTATCTTGCGCCAATCTAATCCACTGTTTGCCTGCGACTGCTCTTATGTCATCTACCCATCTTTCTTGGGATCTTCCCATGCTTCTTGTTGTCGTCCTTGGTCTCCATTCTAGAATTCTCCGTGTCCACCTATTGTCATTATATCGGACTACGTGACCTGCCCAGCGCCATTTCATTTTTATAATTTCTTTGTTCTTCGTCTTATCTCGGTGTTTCTAATCTTGTCTCTTAGTGATATTCCAAGCATGATTCGTTCCATTGCTCTTTGTGTTGTTTCTAATTTTTTAGCAGATTTTTTGGTAAGGGCTACTGTCTCCAAGCGGTAGGTTACAAAACTGGTAGTATGCATGTGTTTATACACCTTTTTCTTTAAGTTTACAGGAATGGAGGTGTTTTTCAAGATATATGCTAGTTTGCTGAAAGTGCCCCATGCCAGTTGTGTTCTTCTTTTAATTTAATCATTCCATCTGCGAATCTTAAGTGGTTTAAGTATGATCCGTCGACGTTGATACCCTTATTGTTCCATTCCAGTTTCTTAAAAATATCTTCTAGAGCAAGGGTTAATAGTTTATTAGAGATGGTGTCTCCTTGTCTTACTCCCCGTTGTAGTCTTATGAGATTAGTTTTTGTGCTTTCGTCCAGCTTTATCTGTAAGGTGGCATTTTCATATATGTTTTTATTATGTTAGTGTATCCTGAATCTATGCGTGCATTTTCTAGTGATTCAAGCACTGTCCATAATTCGATGAAATCGAATGCTTTATGGAAATCGACGAACGCCATATGAATTGGAACATTATACTCGGTGCATTTTTCTATCAGTGTTCTTACCGTGTGCAAGTGGTCTGAATCTTATGTAATCTAATCTTGTGTGTTAGGCGGTTGGTTATGATTTTAGTTAGTAATTTATACAGATGTGATAGCAAGAATATTGGTCGGTAATTCTCGATGTTTGCTTTGTCTCCTTTCTTGAATAGTAAAATGACTTCGGAGTGGTACCATTCTTGAGGAATCTTTCCTTCATCAATTACTTTATTAAATAAAATATTTAATACCTGCTTCATTTTTCTGCCACAAATTTTCAGCATTTCAATTTTAAATGGTTAAAAAGTTTGGCCCTGTTTGCAAGCTAATCATTTTCGGAATTGTGTGTCAGTAAGCGCTATGTGTCACAAGTAATTTATAGTATTTTAATAAACGTATAGCAGAACATAAAACAGCATTCAATAATAGAGAAACAAATTTAAAATGGATAGATGATAGAGAAACATTTAAAACAAAGGTTTTAAGCTATATTTATTAGAATCTATTAAAATAATTAACAAATTACAAAATACAGACATAATTCTAAATGGCCAAGTTGAGACAGTTTTGTCCTTCCCGACTTATAGAAGTCGGGAAGGTTATACAATATAAAGTGCAAACACATACCAAAAATAACTCACTTGAGAAAGGCAATCGGCAGAAACTGCTGTAGTAATAATAAATTATAATAAATTTGAAACCAAAACTTTTTAATGTATTATTGTTAAATAAAATGGATATCTATCTCTTATCCATCACCACCATTTATTGGATCTTTTGTTTTTTTTTTTCGATTTTAAAATACGGCTTACCACCTCTTTGTTGATTTCAAGATTGCATGTAATTATATGTTAATGAATTGTTTATCTGTTTCGTGATTTACTTTGATGTAATTTAAACAATTTGTTGAGATTAATGTTTATATATTTTATTTTTACGAATATTTCAGCCACTCGTTGGAATGAACGGTTTATTGTTTTACTTGTTTCAGTAATTCAACCATTTGTTAAACTAAAGTGTTGATTTGTTTTTTTTTATCTGTATTTCAACTCTTTGTTGTGATAAATCGTTTTTTTGTACTGACTCATTTATTTATTCCGCTGTCAACAAGTTCCCTGATGAAATATTAAATTTAAACAATATGCTACTTATATTTCAACCAGCAAGAAAGATCAAGCCGTGTAAGTCTTAGGTAAGTATGTTGACAACATTTAATCAATAATTCTAACTTTAATATCTTTTACATTTTTAGTTTTAGAACATAATTTTTTGTTTACTTTCTTCTAGATCTAAGATTTCTTAACTTTGTTCTTTTATTTACATTTTATTTTCGTCTTTTCCTATATATTGACCTACCCATCTATTCTATCTCATCTGATCTCTGGTACATTGTTTCGTTATAAAAAATACTAATTTCAAAAGCTAGTTTCAAACTACGACTCGCTCTCCATCAAACATTTAGCTGCTGTTCACGATATATTATTGGTGACCTTTCTAGCTACATAGAAAAGCGTTACACATTGGTATAAGAGGTTAGAAGAAAAAGCAAAAACAGCATAAGTCGTGTTGGCTTGGGTAGTGAATCACTAACGTGAGCCTTCTCATAAGCTACGCTCCATGTTAACTATTAGAGGCGTGAAATAAAAAGAATAAAAAATTTATATTTCGCAAATTCAATTTGATCGTCTCTCTCTCTCTCTCTCTTTGTCAACCATTTTTCAACGACTCCTGAATGTAGGTCTCTCCTAATTGCTTCCATCTTCTCTATCTTGCGCCAATCAAATTCACTGTTTGCCTGCCACTGCTCTTATGTCATCTACCCATCTTTTTTGAGGTCTTCCTATGCTTCTTCTTGTCGTCCTTGGTCTCCATTCTAGAATTCTCCGTGTCCATCTATTATCATTACTATCGGCTTCGTGACCTGCCCAGCGCCATTTCATTTTTGTAATTTCTTCCATAATATCCCTAATCTTCATTCTACTTCTTATCTCTGTTTCTGATCTTGTATCTTAGTGATATTCCAAGCATGATTCGTTCTATTGCTCTTTGCGTTGTTTCTAATTTTTTAGTAGATTTTTTGGTAAGGGCTACTGTCTCCAAGCTGTAGGTACAAACTGGTAGTATGCATGTGTTATACACCTTTTCTTTAAGTTTACAGACATGGAGGTGTTTTTCAAGATATATGCTAGTTTGCCGAAAGCGCCTTATGCAAGTTGTGTTCTTCTTTTAATTTCAACATCTTATTTGGTTTTCCTAGTTTGATAACATGACCTAGATATACATAATGTTCAACATTTTCTATGGTATGATTTTGTATTGTTATATTTGTCTGGTCTCGGCTCAGTATTTTTGTTTTGCGGTAGCTCATTTTTAAGCCTACCGCTCCTGAAACTGCATTTAATTGTTGTAACATACCATTTAGTTCTTGGATATTATCGGCTATTAAAACTATGTCATCTGCAAATCTCAAGTGGTTTAAGTATGATCCGTCGACGTTGATACCCTTATTGTTCCATTCCAGTTTCTTAAAAATATCTTCTAGAGCAAGGGTAAATTTGATCGTGATAAGATCAAACTTGTTTGATTTTTGGATCATGTAGTCAGACGTGAGCAGTGCATGAAGATATATGTGTTAATTAAGACAGCTTAGATTTTAAGAATAAATATCACAGACACCAATAAGTTGGTGATATACCAAACTAAGCCAGTTTTTTGGGATCCTAACAGAGAGGATTATAAAAACTCGAGTTTCCTGCAGCTGCAAGAAGAACTGCTATTGCAATGGAACTTGATGGTTTTACATGAAATCCATGTATTCATAAAAATTTTAGTAGCTCCTTATATGCAAGAACTAAAAAATTAGCAAAGCATAAGCTCCGATAGACTTTCTCTCATATTATTATATATTTTTTCAATGCTGCGGTTAACCAATTCCAATAAATGCTGAAAATGGTCTTCCAACATTCTAAAGAAAATTTTTAAAATATTTATAAAAATTTTAGTAGCTCCTTATAAGCAAGAACTAAAAAATTAAGCAAAGCATAAGATCCGATAGAGTTTCTCTCATATTAATATATATTTTTTAATTTTGGGGTTAACAAATTCCAATAAATACTGAAAATGGTCTTCCAACATTCTAAGCAAATTTTTAAAATATTCAGGGTACTTGAAGATGCCTTTAATTAAATTAAAGTCTTTTCTTTCTTTTTACTGTCAAATTTTGTGAAATCCTGTCTTCTGTTACTTAACATAACTTGATATGCTTCTGTCACCAAGCACTGCATATAAACTCTTTTTACGAACGAGACATGACTATAGTCGTGAAATTAGTAAGATTTGTGTTACCACAAATGTGGCTCTTGCTTGTGATTCACAACCCATACCAACGCTCCTTATAGGATTCCTACAACGTGTAGTAGAATTGTATAAAATTAACAGAGAATACACAGACTTAATTATTAGACCTAATTATAGTTTTCACTACTGATGTACCTAACTTACCACAGCCACTTTTTGTGAATGCCCTATGGACGCGCTTAGTTTAAGATTTGCTGCTACCATCATTGATTCTCTGACACTTAACCTCGGTTGTACTAGATCTTCTTGCATGATGTACGACGAAAGCTTAGTGAAGATTCTCATATCTCGAGGCTTTCCATTGATTTTTACACTACCTTTAACTCCAGCTGTCCTGAAACAAAGAAAAAACATTATTGTGGAAAGCTACTGATGAATATAATAAAAAATTCATATAATAAATAAAAAACTTCATATAAGGATTTTGACAGTGGGTAAAATCCATGAATTAAAGTTCGAATTATTGGAGCATCCACCGTATTCATCAGATTTGTCCCCTAGCGACTTCCATTTGTTTTAATACTAAAAAAATACGTGGAAAGCATTTTTCATAGAATTATGAAGTTATAGTAGCTGTGAAAGCGTACTTTGCAGCCTTCTAATTTAACAATTAGAAGGGAGACTATACTGAATAACAAAGTGTATTTCAAACCATAAAATGATGTTTTTTTTATCGAACCGAAAAAACTTATTAAACATCCTATTGGAATTAAGTTTACATAATAACACATTTATGTAACAATAAAATATTGAAACCGATGTTTTCAAAACTTCCACAAAATGTATAATAAAATCTTATACAGTTACAGTACTTATTACAGCTGCTTCGGTAGAGTGCCTTTGTCAAGTGATCTATTTTTGGTATGCGTTTACACTTTATATCCTTTAACGAAATAGGTTGAGGAGAGGAGGACTGTTTGTCTCAAGTTGGTCATTCAGAATTATGTCTGTGTTTTTTAATTTGTTAATTTCCATAGATTCTAACAAAGATAGCTTAAGGCCTTTATTTTGAATGTAAAGAATTTGAAACTCGTCATTAAAAGAATGATTATGATCTAGAAGGTGAAGTGCGTATATAGAATCTGTTTTTCTATTATTGAAAGCCCTTTTATGTTCTGCTATTCGTTCGTTAAAATTTCTAACAGTTTGACCGATGTAAGTTTTTGGGTATTGCCACATTCAAATTTGTATACATCACTGTGTAAGTGCTTTTTAGTTTAGCTCTTGTTGTTTTTAATATATTTGCCTTGTAATTTGTTGTTTGTTCTAGAGGCTGGTTTTATTCCTTTCTTTTTTATGTGTTTGGCTATTTTTGTTGATATTTTGCCTGTGTATGTAATAGAGCAGAAGGTACTGGGTTTTTCTTTGGTGGTGGAAATACTAATTTCAGTGCTGTCTTGTGTACTTTTTGATTAAAAATCTTATTAACTCTTTGTTCGTTGTATCCATTGTTTATCCATTTTAGGTCCAAAACCAACATTTTTTACCAGGTTGGTTGTAAAATTTTCCATTGTAAACTTTTGGCTTCTATCACTTAAAATATTTATATATGCAGAAAAACTCTTGTCTACAACCCTGTGATGTGAGCAATGTGAGCATATTTAAATTTTTGCAATTATTTGAAGTCCATGTCAGTATTTTCTTACTAATATAATTATTTTTTATTTTTGAAAATATTCAATCTTAAACATCATATATCTTTAATTTTTTCTTTTATACAATTAGACCAGTTATTCCAGGAATACTTTCAGTGGCGTCTTCCAAATTGTTAACTATTTTAATAGAGACATACATTCCTTGCTACTTATTAAAAATAAAAATTAATCTTCAACTAAGCCAGACTAGGCTACAAACAACGTTTTTAAAATTTTCTGCATAATATATTGCAGCATCCAACCATGTGATTCACCTGGTTAAAATAGGTTCAAGTGGTAAAGAAATGTTGGTACTTAATCCTTGAAGAGCTGTATCACAAAAGCGTATTAAAAGCATCCTTGAATTCATTTTTATTTGTATTAAGAAGAGAAAGTAGTTGCCTTATACTTTAAGCTACCCTATTTAGCAATATGCCAAGCCAGAACAATGAAATATATTTGGGAAGACTCTTTAAGTTTGAAGTTGTTTTGACCATATACGCTACTGTCTCAGAAAGCATGAGTTTTTTTACAGGGAACAGGTTCTAGCAAGTAAAAGCTTGTTATTTCTGCATTTACAAATCTGGATACTGTGTTATTGGTTGTTCTGTCCAGCTCCTTGAAACATATTAAATATCCTGTGTTTGAAATTGTTTTCATTAAGGTCTCAGATTAAATTCACAACATGTCTTCCAAAAGTATCCTTCCTTTATTGTGTCTACTATAAACTGGCTGCCAATTAGATTTTTTATTTCTTGAACAGTTTCATGGTACACAGTGCTAAAATAGTTTTATTCTTGTGTTTGGTACATATATCTTACAAAATTATTTCAAAAATAACGTCAAATAATTATTTTTTAATTTATTTGAAGGTCTTGATTTTACCACGGCTACATAAATCGAGATTAAAGCTTTTTTGTTGACTATACACAGAAGTTGATGTCAAGGATTGTATAATGGTGAAAAACTACAAAATTGAATCGATTGCTTTGACTTAATTTTTGTAGTTTTCAGACTCTATTGGTGCAAATATGTTTTCTGTATCCGTATCTATAGAAAATGTTTTATGTGAATGCTCGGATTTCTCGTTAATACGAGAGCACCTTCCTAAAAATGGCAAGATGGACAATGAGCTAAGGACAACAGCTCCCTGGGTGGATGCATAATGGGTCAATTGTGGCCTAACTGCTGTGGTACTAACTCTCCATTACTAACCCTGATGTGACACGTTGTGTGTTCAAGGTTAGTAACGCTTATCTCCTATCTGTACAGATTTTTATTGTTTTCCTGGCTATACCTTTTTGGGTTATCTCTTTTGCGACTATGAAGATACCAGCCAGTTCTGCCTGAACTACGTTGGAATTTTGGGTCAATACCCCACTTTATTCTTAAGTTTAGTGATCTTTAGTATATCCCGCATACTGAGCTTTCTTTCATTTTGGAGCCATCGGTGTATATGTAATATGCATTTCTCGGGTTTGACTATATTTACCCGCTTGGCACGTTTGACGGCGCAGACCGAGTCCTCGAAATAGAGCAAGTGTTTTGAAGACCAGTTATTCAAGAATACTTTACGCTTTTATTAAAGCATCTTGGACTTATGTATTATTACTACATGTATATATATTTATATATATATATATATATATATATATATTATATATAAAATTATTGTTTCTTGGGTTTAGGTTCAATAAAGATATGTTACATGTGGAACAGATTTTATTTTCCATTGCAATCAATCAACGTTTCGGCAGGAAACCCTTGCCTTTGTCAAGATTCTAAAACGTGTATATATATATATATATAAGGACAAACAGATATTGTAAAAATATGTATATATATATATATATTATATATATATATATATATATATATTATTTATATATATATATTATATATTATATATATATATATATATATATATATATATATATATATATATATATATATGACTTACCAAAACGTAAAACGTGACACAGACATTAACGAACTAACATATAAAAGTTGATATCTGATATCTCATTGTTTACTGTCATTAGTATATAATTATTTTTATATGGGCGTATCGTTGATGTTTTCGAAAAAGGTAAGGTGGAGATCTGTTATGAGTATGACTTTAAGAGCTTTTTATGATGTTATATTATTATTGTGTAAATCGGAATAAAATATATTTGATTTAGGTTTTGTGTATCTTTTTTGTCATTTATTGCGTTGGTGTTTCTTTTTATTTCTATTGATTCGTTATCTCCCTCCTCTTTTTGTTTTTTTTTCTGTTTTTAAAATTTTGATGTTTTCAAAATCAAATTTATGCTTCTTCCCGCTTTCATGTTTTGTGAGCGCAGTGACGTTGTTCTTGTCGTATTTGTGAGAACGAATTCTGGATTGAAGCAGTTGACTGGTTGACCGATATAGACACCTTCACAGTTAGTACATGGTATCTCGTAAACAACATGTGATAAATTAAAAGTGATTACTTAAATAGTAAAGTAGAATCGCGGTTAATACCGCAAAAATCGGAAGACGATTATAACAAAGAATTCGACAGGTTTATTAAATAGATGAAAGAGCAAGGTCTACAGATGAACGAGTTATTGTCACCTATGTGGTCTATCTATTCGAAATTGCTAATTATGTTGGGGATAAACAAAAGGGTCAATTTAAAATCATTTATAAAAGTCCATGCATTTAAAAAGGCAATTAGCAAGAATGACGTCACCAAGAGGGCGTATGTATTCAGGGAAGACGATTTGTGCCAGTTTTTTACAGATGCTCCGGACATAACGTATTTATTTTTGAAAGTGGCAGCAGCTTGTGGTATCTTTGGCTCTCGCAGAAGATGTGAATTGTGCGATTTACGCATACATAACATCAAGGAAGAAGGTATTACTTGTTACTATCTGACCATCTAACACTTTGATGGCTCGACGTTTTACAGTTGCGATGCAATTAATTATGAGCATTTGGTGAAGAAGTATTTATTATTGCTCCCCAAAAATGTAAGTACAGATCGAGTTTTCTTACGTTATGATAAATGAAAGTGCACTAATCAAGTAGTTGATATTAATACAGTTGGATAATGTCCCTTACAAATTGGAGGTTATCTAACATTGTTATTACAATTATGGGGAACAGTTAACATCCAACGACAAGTAGGATTAAAATTGGCAGCTGCGGAGGCTGGTTACTTTGAAGAGAGTATTACCAACAAGAAGAATGTTTCAAACAATATTGAAATTGCCATCAATGGAAGTCCAACCCCATTGGCTTCCGAGAATGTCGGTAGTATTATTTGAACAGTATTTCCTCTTCGGAAGTATAAATATTTCAAACAATACCAACTGTGTTCACATTCATTTAAAATATTACGATTTTTAAATACTTATTTAAAAAAATCTTTTAAAACATTTGTTAGTAATATTTATTCATATTTTATTTATTTCTCGTTACAAGGTATCTACTCCTATCAGGTCAGATCAATATTTAAAACTGTTGATGTTGCCACAGTAACTTTAAAACAAGCGCGTTTTTGAAAGTTGAATTTAAACACGCTGAAGCGTACTTACGCAAAATGGGGGTACCAATAAAAATAGTATAAAACTTAAAGAAAAGCAAAATAAGCAGTTAAAACACTGACTTTTTGGTATATTTTTGATTCAAATAGTGAATATCTTGAGCTATGTACTATTTCCTTGTAATATGTATAAAAAGCATAATGACTG